AACAGCTTAACGTTCCTATTTCTCTAGCCTATTGAGATCTACCTGTACAGCTACGCAAGCACTTGGTCTGTGAACCAGTCCTCCTAGTTTTGCATTGCCTGTGAGCTTACTGAGCATACACTCTGTCCCATCATCCAGGATATTGAAGGAGTATTGTCATGGAAGTTAGAATCCTAGAATGGTTAGAATCAAGTTGGAAGATCATCTATTTCCAACTGTCCTGCATGGTCAGGGACACCTACCACTAGACCAGGTTGCTCAAAGGCCCATCCAACCCAGCCTTGAACACTTCTAGGGAGGCAGCATCCACAAGCTCCCTGGGCAATCTGTTCCAATGTCTCACCACCCTTACACTAAATAATTTCTTCCTAATGTCTAACCGAAGTCTACCCTCTTCCAGCTTAAAACCATTACTCCTCACCCTACCACTACACAGTCTTGTAAAAACTCCCTCCCTAACCTTCTTGTAGGCCACCCTCAGGTGCTGGAAGGCCACTATTAGTTCTCCTCAGAGCCTTCTTTTTGCCAGGCTAAATAGCCCCACCTCTCTCAGCCTGTCTTTGTAGGAGAGATGTTCTATCCTTCTGATAATCTTTATGGCCTTCCTCTGGACTTGGTCCAAGAATTCTATGTCCTTCCTGTGTTGAAGGGAAGAGGGGCAGAATCACCTCTCTTGGTCACACTTCATTTGATATAGTCCAGTACCTGGTTGTCTTTCTGGGCTGCAAGTGCACATAGCTGGCTCATGTTGAGCTTTTCATGGACCAGCACCCCTAGGTTTTTCTCCTGAGAGCTTAATCCATTTTCTGCCTAATCTGTTATTGGATTTGGGGTTGCTCCAAGTCTGATGTGTTGGTCAAGCATGATTTCCCATCCGTAAGTCCACTAAGACTATATTCTTCTTATCCTCCATATGTTTGGAAATGGTTTTCGGTATTACTATCTCTGTCACCTTTCCAGAGATTGACATGAGGCTGATTTACCTGTAGCTCTCAGGCTTCTTCTTGCCTTTCTCAAAGATGAGGCTTTATTCCAGTCCTTGGAAATGTTTCCCAATCACCATGGCCTTTCAGAGACAATCAGGAGTGCCCTCACAATTACATTAGCCAGCTACTGAGGGCATTCCCATCAGGGCCCATGGGCTGGTGTCTGTCCAGTTTGTTTAAATGTTCCCCAATTGGTCCTCCTCTACTGAAGGTAAGACTTCCTTGCTCCAGGCTTTCTTCCTCATCTCAAATGCTTGGAGCTTCCGAAGACAAATGCCACAAATGTCCTTTACAACCTTCACCAGATCAAAGTCAAAGTGAGCTTCAGCTTTTCTAACTGTATAACTGTACTTTTAGTCAGTACCTGTATATTTGTGCAGGGGTCATCTGACCCTACTCCCACCTCTTGTACATGTCCTTTTTATGTTTGAGTTTTGGCAGAAGCTCATTGTTCATCCGTGCAGACTAACTGCTATTTTCACTTGATTTTCTGCTTGGCCAGATAGGCAACTATTGTATCTGGAGAAGGTGATCTTAGAAGTTCAACCAAGTGTCCTCGGTCACTTATATTTCCAGTACCACCTTCCATGGTATTCTTCTAAGCAGACCCCTCACCTGTAAAGATTTACTTTCCTGAGTCTGAGGGTTATGATCCTAGTTTTTGCCTTATTCCTTCTTTGCAGCATTCTGAACTCCAGCATCTCAGGAACACTGCGGCTAGGGCTGCACCTGACATTCACATCTCTGATTGGTTTTCTTGCTTATTTATAAAAGCATGAGGCCCAGAAGAGCTCCCCTCGTCAGTTATAAGGGTATTTATACACTCATGGGGGAGACTACAGATTGATAGAGAGGCTTCTGCTGGGTGGAGAGGTTTGTATTGTTTTATCTCGTTGAAACTAATGGTAGCAGTAGCTTCTTTTTGTAAAAAAATTCACTACCTTTCCTCAGGTTTAAATATTTACCTGTTGAGGCATTGCCTAGATGATGCTCAAGACTTAGGTTAAGTCAAGTATTGCTGCCACATACCTTGTCTGCTTGATTCGACTCCTATCCTGTGTTCTGTAACAGCTTCAAGAAAACATCAGCACCAGCTCCATCTTGCTGTAAAATAATCCTGTTTACACCAGTTCATTTATCTTTTTGCTACTACTAGAATGTCCATGATACAGCAACCCAAAATCCCTTCACTGTGCCTCTTCAAGTGCAAGAAACTTAATTCCTCCAAAGTACAATGGGACTGTCAAGTTTTTAGCTTCCTTGATGCTTTCATTCATTCTAACAAAAAAAAAAAAAATAATTAGAATGGGATAAATAAATTTATTTCTTGTCCATCCTAATCACTCCAGGTTCAGCAGACCACAAAGATTATGTGATTATACTAATTTTATGAACATGAACAAGAGGAGGCTGTTGTCATTAGGTTTAGAAATCTTATATCTCTTTTTAAGATTGCTGCACTTACTCTGAAATGGTTCTGCTTTGCTATTCATCTAGCTTTGACATTTATTCACATACCATCTCTTTCCTGCATAGCTCAACACCATTATTTAGAGAAACTGAAATTTCCTTCTTTTTTAGTCTTTTCTCGTGCTTTTCATTTCCAGATCTCCCTGTCATCACTTTGCATAATCATCCCTTCTTCTTAAATCTGCAAAAGTTACTTTTGTAGTGCTCCTATTTTTTCCTTTTTTATCTCTGAAACATTTCCTAATTTTTTCATTTGATATACAATGTCATGTCATTTCTTTCAACTAATAATGCCTTAAGTATCATCTGTTTCTGCTGCGCAGTTCTCTCTTTCTTTGTTTTCCTTTCACTTTACTATGTTTCTCTAGCTTCTCATTTTCCACTTACCACCACTATACTTCTAACCTCCTTGATTTCTGCATCATACAACTGTCCTTCTTTCCCTTAAATTGTTCTCTGTTCTTTTGGGGATTGTTTTTCCACTATCAATCCTTTCTTTGCTGTTGCATTCAGGATTAAATCAGACTGATTTTCAAGGTGCAAGAGGAAATCATAGACATCCTAGAGGCTTTGTCTGCTCAGACACAGTGCTCCTTCCTTACTGCTTCACTTCTAACGCCTTTCATCCCACTCTGGATGTTTTATGGTGTTTTGGTGTTTTTTCCTCTTTTATGGCTTTATTAGCATAAATTTTCCTAATCCAGCACTTTTTTTTTTACTTCCCCTCCCCCTTGTTACCCTGTCACTCCTTGTGCTTTTGCCATCTGTCATTTAGGTGTTCTTTATTTTTGTGCACTTTCTACTTCTGATCATGAATTTTGACTGGGTGGCTTCTGAAGTCTTCTTCAGTTTTCCTTTCATAAATACTCTCCTTTTTTCACTTTTCTGTTTAGAGCAGTCAGTGAAACTCTTCCTGTGTGTTTGCAGCTACAAATGTGAATGAAAGTGACACAGACAAGTCTCCTATATGATGTGTAACATCATGATGAGTCATAGTATCCTCCAGGTTCAGCCCTCAGTGCTCCCAGATTGCAGTAACAAACACGGACCCTCACAAAACACCCTCCTTTGTTAATATGCATGTGCTGTTCTACTCTTTCTGTCCAGTTTGTAATAAAAATCCTTCCTGTACAAAATTTAACATCTTACCATGGTCACAGCAGCTTAAGAGATGGTGTGGCAGACTTTTCAAAAAATTGAACAGGGGGCAGAACCAGTCTGGCTCATCCATATTCTGCATTGGCTAAGGGATAGGGTATACAGGTACTGATATATCTCAGTGAATGGTTGCGTATTTGGGGGTGAGTACAAGTTTCAATGGAATTTGCTATTTGTTTAACAGATCCTAACTGCTTTGAACAAGCCATTATAGTCAGTTATGGATATAACTTCTTCAAAGGTTGCTTTCTTGACATGATATATGGGGTTATTAAGCTCTACAATATAAATCCTTCGTATTGTCCTTAGTAAGCAAATGACTGAAGCAGTTGTCTGCTCTTAGCCAGTCTCAGCACTATGCATTTGTGTTGTCATAGGAACAGCTTCTAAAGTTGCAGAAGAGGAAAATTGCCATGAAGCATCCAATTCTAAGTATCAATAGAATGAGCATAATAACTGCTTTCTGATTTGTTAAGGGTCTTAAGTTATTTTCTAACTTTCCATCAAAAAACACCCTAATAAAGCCTCTGGGTTGTTTTGGCTAAACAAGTCATAAACCATTCATTTTTACTGATTTAACAGTAATAAAGTTTGTAGCTCTTGCTCTAAATGGAGGAAGACCTTCTGGTTTCGCTATATAATTTTGGAGTAGTATCTTTCCAACCCCAACACCTGAGGATCTCCCGACATTTGAGTAAGTAGCACAGTTTCTTCTGATAGCCTTTGAGCTACTTCTTCACAGTAATAATATATGGTCTTCAGTAAAGCCTTCATCCTGCAGCTTTAATCTATGATTCTTCTAGACCATGGACTTCAGGAACACTGAAGACCTTTGCTTTCTTTAATCCCACTTGTGATCAAAGTGGTATTTTTTTTTACTGTAGCTTATCTTATGATCAAAAGATTTTGAAAATAATTTTGTTTTCTCTGGATAAATGTTCAGACACTGTGGAATGGGCACTACAGTACATATGTCTTTTGAGTCACATAAGCTTTATAAGAAAACTGGAGTTTCAGCAAGAAACTAATTAACTTTTTTTTCACAGCAGCCCACAGCATACTGGTTTTTGGATCTATGGCTAAAACACTTGATATCACAACAGTGACACCCCACTAATATTTGGGGGGCCAACTTACTACAGGCATGACACTCAGACTATGGGAAAGTCTGTATGTCTTAGGCAGAACTGAAAATCTCTTGCCAGAGAATAATACAGTGTGTGTCTTGAGTGCTGTCAATGCTGCATGTCACGTATTAAATATGCTCAAGGAACCCATGTTGTATAGTTTTCTCCTACTACAGATTATATGATCAGTCCTAGATGTGTTTGTTGAGGAGAGCTGAATGATTTATAACTTAATATAAGCTTTTTCTCTCATTTTTAGCCCCTTGTGAAGCCAACACATTCTTTTGCCACAGTAATATGTGTATTAATAATACATTGGTCTGCAATGGACTTCAGAATTGTGTGTATCCTTGGGATGAAAACCACTGCAAAGGTAATGTCTAGAATTCAAAATACCAAGTCTTGTAGACTGTATGGGATACAGCATATCATCCTTACTTCCTTATTAAGTACATGACAGATGGGTCTAAGCTCAGGAAGAGTAATTCAGGAAGAAAATATATAAAGCAATAAAGACAATGAAGAGAGGTAAAATGCTGATGGGTTTTATTTTCAGTCTTCACATTTGTTTTGCTTGATGTTGATTTGTGTTGGTTATGTCCTTCTGGAAGGTTATCTGCTGGTAAGCCTTCTGCTTGCTTGGTCTCTGTTTTCCATACACTCCAAAATATAAATAAAAGTCATATTTTTGTTCCTTTGTAATAATAACCTTTGTAGTGGAGTAACATATAGGTAGCGGGTGTCTTCTAGCTGCATGCTATGCCTGTGATAGCCCAGATGGGATAAAAAGCCAAGAAAAAGTAGAATTGACACTGTAAGAAAGCAACCAAATCTACTTATAACCAAGTGGAATTGAAGAGCAAGAAACAAGCATAGGAATCAAGCATAATTTCATAGGCAGGGACTGACCTTCTTAGCCAGGTGCAGGCAGTGGCTTCTAAATGGCTCTGTGTTTCTGGGGGGAAAAAAAAATAAAAATAAAATAAATCAATTTCTGTCTTGTCTTCAGGGACAAGAGCTTAACTAACTTACATTGGAGGCTTGGGAGAGAATTTGTTTCACTCTCTCTCCCCTCTTCCCCCGCCCCCTGCTACTACAGATTTGTTCCTGGAAACTTGGGATATGCCAAATTTAGGAACCAATCAAGAAAAAAATCAGAATGAAGTGGATTAGCAGTCAACCCATAAATCTGCTGAATCCTGTAAAATCCTGACAAGCAGTGTAATAGAGTGAAACACAAATGAAAACATAATTCAAAATAACACAACAAAAATGTGACATGGAATAATAATCTTCAAAGAAAATAAATATACAGTTAGTAAATAATTCTCAGTTCTCTACTTCAACACAGAGGAAAAGAGAAAACCCTTCCCACTTTTTCATTTTCAGAATTATTTTAATCTTTAATTTGGCAAGTATCTTTTTATTTGGTCATGTGTGTTTATCCTGTTGTTTTTTTTTCTGACTATAAAAAGGAAGTTCGTCGATTACAGTTAAAATGGTTTTTTTGCTGCTGTTTTGTGTTTTCTAACTCTGTTACTTCCCCACAGTCTAACTGACTGTAGCAGTCAGTAAAAGCTCAGCTGAATCTACGGGAGAAACCAATGGGGAGTACTGAGAAGTTCAGTTTTGGTATCTAGGAGATTGTGAAGAGGTGCCGTTATTGTTTTGGTGCCAATAACTTTAATTTCAAAGTCTTTTTATTAAGTCATTTGGTACGTTTTATTTTCTCAGGAAAAATTACACTAAACTAGATGTTGAAACTTAATCACAGTTGTCAAGTCTTGCTATGCCAGTGAGAGACTGAAGCAAATGCTTTCATCTTTGATTTCTACATGGCTCAGTCACTATCTCTTTTGTCTGCAGCCATTTGAAAGCAAGTTAAAGAGAAATATATATAACAGTAGGGTGAAACTGGTTTTATTATTTTACTACATATTTTCTGGTTTTGATAATTCACAATGCTGAATTTGCTGGCTGAGTTCCTAGAGGCCCCTGAGTAGAGGACAGTAAGTAGAATACACTTTCAGATGTTTAGAAAAGTTGTGGTACCTAATAAGTGAGGAACAACAGGAAAAACTTCCACACTTTTTTTTTTTTTCCCCCCTTTTTGAAGCTCTCTTTAATTTATTTTTTTTTTTATTTCTCCTAATATAGTTTTTTTCATTGAATGCTTTCAATAGTCCCAGTCAGCTCATAAATATTAGGACTTCACTGAAGTTCCCAATGCAAAGAATTTCTTTTTAAGTCCCATAGTCTTGCTCTTTTATTGGTCCTGTGCCTTAGATGCACATATTTACTGCAAGAGACAACACTTAGCAGGCAAATGGAGTTCAGAGGTGACATTAAAACCACCTACTTCTTATGGTGGCTCCTTTTTATAAAAAAAAATAATCTAATTAAGCTTACAATGGACCCTGAATAAATAGCTTTTCAAGTGAAAGTGACTAGGTACACAGAGGAATTATACGTTGCTTTTCTGGCTTCCAAAACCACCTGATTTCATGGTTTTTTTTTTCTTTGTCAGTGAGATTGATTAAGTGAACTCAGACATAGACTAGGCTCAGCTTTGCAGTAGTTCAGGAAGCCATCATGATTGCTTTTATTCTTGAGCAGCAATTAACATTGTGTTTTGTTTTGTTCTGTTTTTCTCCTATCACACAGAAAAAAGAAAAGCTAACTTATTGGATCAACTTACAAATACCAGTGGGACTATAATTGGGGTGACTTCTTGCATTGTGATCATCCTCATTGTTATCTCTGTTATAGTACAAATCAAGCAGCCTCGTAAAAAATTTGTCCAAAGGAAAACAGATTTTGATCAAACAGTGTTCCAGGAGGTGTTTGAGCCTCCTCATTATGAATTATGCACCCTCAGAGGGACAGGGCCTACAGCTGACCTTGCTGATGTTGCAGATGACTTTGAAAATTATCATAAACTGCGAAGATCATCTTCAAAATGCATTCATGACCATCACTGTGGATCACAAGTGTCTAGCATTAAGGGCAGCCGTAGTAACCTCAGCACAAGAGATGCTTCTGTCTTGACAGAAATACAACCCCAGCCTGTAAAACCACTCATTCAGCCCATGAATAGGAGAAATATCCTTGTCATGAAGCATAGCTACTCACAAGATGCTGCAGATGCGTGCGAGATAGATGAAATTGAAGAAGTACCAACCACAAGTCACAGGCTGTCCAGACATGATAAAGCTGTTCAGCGGTCAGTATCAATAGATTTTTGATGAAGACTATTGTGTAAGGACTTGATTGCCCAAACATATTCACTCTTTATTCAGTGAAGGCATATTTTCTTTCTTTCTTCTCTATTTATTGTTTAAATTTCTGTTTCTTGATAACACATGCTATGATATTATCTCTCTCTACCTGTCTCTTTCTCTCATCTCTACTCCAGTTTCCTGAAGGATTCTGTATTTCAGTTTTACTTTCTACTTTATATCTTTCTTTTTCTTTTACTATTTTACACATGCCCACGTGCATGTACACAGAGACCAACAGGTACAATTTTTAAAAACCAAAGAAGATTTTGTGTGAATCTAATTTTATTTTTTTTAAAGCCACATGCATGTTGGTTGCATTGTAACTGAGGTGGCCTTGAGTATCATCCACTGTTGGTCTAATGTTTCCAAATTAATAAATAAAAAATACATGTATCTATTTTGATGCATGACACAATAATGAGAAACACAACCCTGGGGTAAGGAAACCCCTTTTTTATATAATGAATGACAATACTTACAAAATTTTACTGTATCTGTTCCATTATCAATCAGAGTATCTTGGCTTGTTATGTTAACGCATATATAGAGAGTAGGACATGTCACAGCATAGTGAGTAAAGAATACTCATATATTTACATATAAGAATGTGGTTAAAAATAATATTTCTAATCAATAAAAAAGGAAAGTCAAGCATGATATTTTAATAAAAGAGCCATTTCTACTGTATATTGCCCTCTGAATGACTGTAAATATGAATGATTAAAAGTTTACAAGTAAAAGAAAAAGAAAATATTTATGAACAATTTATTTGAAAAAGATCACAGAAACTTTATATATATGTATGTGTTTCTTCTTGCATGCATTATTTATACACTTGTGACTGTTTACATGCCCTCCATGTTTTCTCTGCACATTAAGGCATTTCTATCTCTTTAAGAAATATTTATTTTAATCTAATTGCATGCCAATGTAAATTATTTCATGAATATTGATCATATTATCAAAATGTATTGTTTATTAAGTATCTATCTGCATATATATTTTTTTCTATGCAAACATTATTATTTTGAATGAAATAGCCATAACATTCCAGGTTCTGCCTCATTGGGTCTCTAAGCAAACATGAGTCTGAGTACAACACAACTAGGGTCTAAGAGACAAACTTGAGGTAAGTAAACATACCTATACAACAATTGATCCATCCGTGCTTTGCATTTTATTTGTAATACTGATAAAATGCATGTTAGTTCTCAAGTTATATGTCACCTTGTATGGACAGAGTCAGACTTGAATACTGAGAAAACTGAAAGAAAAATGACCCCTTCAGCATTGTAAACCAAGCAAACTCTATTGATCCCTTAGTCTTGACTACGTTATAATCATCCCTTAGCTAAATATAATCTTAATTCCAAACACATTATAAAGACAGATGCTTTGCATGGCTCTGGTGTTTGATTTAATTTTTTTGTTTACAAAAATAAAATTTTGAGTTCCACCATGTGAAGTACTATGGAAAACTTGACCATCTAACCCTAGACAGAATATGTAGAACTATCAAGTTTCAGCTAATTTTATTCATCCAACCTTGTGAACTGTTGAGGAAGTGTATGAGGTAGTACTGGAAAGTTTAGAGATTCAGTAGCACTAATGTTTATGTTTTCAATTAACCTTCCTTCTTTGAGTCTTTTCCCAGGCATTTTTTATTTTATTGTTTTTTTTTAATATTATCAACACTTAATATCAACAACAATCTCAAACTTCTATAATTAAATTACAGATAGCTGTGAGCTTGTCAATTTGTATATGCATGTATATATATAAAAATAGATATGTGTATAAGCATGTTTATATGTGTATATATGTAAAGAGCAATTTTACTGGGAAAAAATCCATTAATGTTTTATTGCTTCTAGGTAGTTTAGGTAATTATTTATCTGTATTTTTACTCATAGAGAACATGTTTTAACTTTGTTTTGATTTCAGACAACTGTTCATGCAGTCATGCAAACTCTGGATGGAAAAATCTATGGTGAATTATCTAATCTATCTGAAAGAGAGTTGACATGTTCCTAGTTTAATTTCATTGACTTTATGCAAACCTCATAAATACAGACAAATGTTACTTCCTTAGCAAGATATTCCCATTGCACAATAATATATCTCTTTTGTAATTTGGTTGTGGGCCACCAAGTGCTCTTTAGTTTTTAAATACATTTGGAGATGTGCTGCAAAATTTAAGAAGAAATTAGCTCTTAACTGAAACTGTCCCTTCCTTCCTTCCTTCCTTCCTTCCTTCCTTCCTTCCTTCCTTCCTTCCTTCCTTCCTTCCTTCCTTCCTTCCTTCCTTCCTTCCTTCCTTCCTTCCTTCCTTCCCTCCTTCCTTCCCTCCTTCCTTCCCTCCTTCCTTCCCTCCTTCCTTCCCTCCTTCCTTCCCTCCTTCCTTCCCTCCTTCCTTCCCTCCAACCTTCCTTCCTTCCTTCCTTCCTTCCTTCCTTCCTTCCTTCCTTCCTTCCTTCCTTCCTTCCTTCCTTCCTTCCTTCCTTCCTGTTTTAATTCAATTTATATGCTTACATCTGTTATTTACTTATTGGTTGTATGGTATGTGGAAGAAATTTACATTGAACTTTTGTTATATGTATGTTGTTTTCATTATATAGACTGCTTGAGAATAATGCGCTCCTGGGTGATTTTGAACATGCTACAATGAAATGTGAAACTATCGTCCTTGGAAACACCAGCTAGAGGTTTTATGGACTCTCTGACCAACTATTCTCATATCATGCAAAATTCAGCTAACAGTATTGAGTAAAATCACTAGAAGGCAATAAGACTTCAGTTATTATCTCTATTGATCATTCCTCTTTTTCTTTTTCACTCTTATTTTTGTTGCAAGTTAAGTTCCCAATTTCAGGAACAATTTACTGAAATCAGGTATTTAGCCATTCATGATCACTTTCAATAGACATATTTGTTGGGTAAGCATCTAGTAATATGACTGAATTTGACATTGAGAAAATAATCTGCATGTATGTTACTGAATATTTGAGTTGGCAAATATCCCTTTATTAGATACATTGTAAAAAGCATGCATTCACAATTATTGCTGTTACTGTTCCATTTCTGTGTCATATGCTTGCTACTTGTAACTTTTTATATAAAGATACATAAAACAATGTATAATAATTTCTTACCTTGAGTTTAATGGCAATGTTTTCTTTTACCAACTTAAAAAATCTTCTGGAATTTGGGATATTAAGCTTGAAGTGCAGCTTGTAGGAACTTGAAACAGACACATCAGGGGATCAGCCACCTCTCATACCTCACATATTGAAAGACAAAATACATTAATTTATTAAGATTTAAATGAACTAATAAGAACTAAAGCTGATCATCAATTTCAGTTAAAAGATTTGTGATAACCTCTGTATTCAATTCTGTACTGTTAGCTAACCTAGTTCCATGGCAATGATTACAAAGTTTACTTCAGCATAGAAAAGTGGCAGATGTTTATCAGTTATACAAATGTTATGGCTGGGCTCCAATTTTGGAAATATAAATATAAACCACCTCCTGGTGAAATATGATACTATTCATATCATCCAAGATATAAACATTAGTAAACTATTGAAACCAAACCTGAGAGGTTAAGTCATTCATGAATTATTGTAGGCTGGAAAGCTACAATTATATAAGGTTGAAAACCTCATTTAGTAACTCAATAGCCATGCATAAAATCATAGTTTCATTGTATATTTTAAGTGCTCTCTTCCAAATTTTATTTCAAAATTAATCCCAGCTCCTTCTTAAACATAATCTGTCATTCCTATTTTTTAAGTTTTCCTGTATAAAAATTGTGCTTGTTTTATTGAAAAACTGGGAAGAATTCCATAGAGCTTACTGAAGTATAAATAGATTTAAAAACAGAAACCATGAAATACTGGTCTATATTAGTTATTTAAATTTCTAGTGCCTAATTTACATAATTAAAATATACAAGGAATCTGATTATTACAAAACAATTTCTACAAATGTGATTAAGGAATTACATGAAGAATTCTTTTTAGGTATTTTGCCACACTTTTGTACACTGTATTTTAAATGTATTTTACATAATTTGATTGAAGCTTAATTAATTTCTTCATCAGCATATATTAGCTACAAAAACCAGTCCTCTGTCCTCTGCAGTCATCAAGACTCATTGAGTCATCTCTCAGTTATATGGATTTTTAACATGCACTAGCACTATAGTGCATTTCCAGATCAGTATTGCTTTTCAAGTTCATACTCTTTAACTCATTTTTTCCTTAATTTTTCCATGTCCTATCTCATGATCATTTCTCAAGTATATTATGTTAAGATATTTGCCACATCCATGCTTAAAATGGATGCATCAGTGCATCAGTTATAAAATCAAGGAAGAATTAAATATTTGCTGAAATAAATGCATATACATGTACACATATTTATATATATTTATAAATATTTGTTAATGGAGATAGTGTATAAATATGCATATAAGGAGAAATCTAAATATGTGAATTTAGCTTTGAATTAAATATATAGATTACCTAGAGAAATGCTGAAGCCTTGGATTTCAAAGTTGCTATATATTTAAGTGCCTAAATCCCACTGAAACATAGAGTAGGTTTAGTCACTCCTAGACAAGCACACAACAAAATGCATTTAATGATTTCTCCAGTGAAGTGTTGGCTGAGGGAGCTTAAATGAAGAAGACATTGGCATTAATAATTGTGTTGCATGCTTATCCTTAACTTCTTTTAAAAAAAACAAACCAAAACAACAGCAACCTAACTGCATCAGGGAAAATTAGTGAGAAAAAGAAAAAAACCTGTGTAAATAGAGTGAGTCAAGCAAAGTGAGGATGGTAATGCTTACTTGACCTTGGAAACTCCTTTAGAAATATGTCGTTTAATAGCTAGCTGTACCCTGGCAAAAATTCACCATTGTAAGTGACAAAGAATGTGCATACTGGGAGGACAGGGTCAAATTATTAAATTATCTATAAAAAAATAAACAACACTGAATTTAAAGCAAATTAAAATATTACAATTTAAATATTTAATTTTAAGCAATTATATTCTGTATATGGTCAGTGTAAATAATAGCCTAGTTGCAAACAATATAAATAACTTTTGTTCAGTATCACAATAGTAAGATATCTTAATGTGATCTATAGAAAGTATTAAAATAAAAGGGGTTGTTGATGGAAGTAAGCAGTTTGCCTTTCCTATGAGTATTTTTTTCTTATTATGAAACCAATTTTTTAAAAACAGAAAGCAGTTCAAACAAGCTAGTTCAAAGACAAGCAAGTTCAAACAGACAAGCTAGTTCAAGCAACTTCAAATTCACACAAGTTAAATTAGCTATAAAGAGAATACTATAAACTTGTATTTGAACACATACAGTAAGTGAAATTTAATCTGGTTTATTACACCTTTTCCACTATATGGAAAGAAAGTTTTGCTTGTTAAATTAACACAGCTACATGTATTTTGTAAAAATCTTAGTAAATTATTATGGAGTGGCTGAGCTGGTAGCGTTAGCTTCATGCATTTTTCGTCATGTTTGCCGAAAGCTAAAACAGAATGGTAATTACTAGACCACTTTGGTTTGACTGGTGCAATGTGTGTGATGAATAACTATGTTGACAGTATGCTAATTTCTGATACATTCTTTGAAATATTATTTTTTTGTTATCACAGTGCATTGTCACATTGTTCATAGTTTTGAGTTGTGTTTTTTTTTTTCCTTTCTCCCACGGGTGTAGTGTGACGTATACACTTTTCTTCTTAGATTATGCTGTGAACAACCACTCCCAACATTTTCATCTGCTCCAGGAAACATGGCCTTTACAGTTTATGAAGCTTTCTCTGTAGCACAGTTAAAACATCTCAGGAAGTCCATTTTGTAAACTATCCCAGCGTAAATATTTTCTGTCTTCCCAATTCTAAAAACAGCTTGAAGGACAAAAAGAAAAGCTTCTGAGAAATCTTAGCACTTTATCTTTCTAACTTTTATTCCTCTTTATGCTTTAGATGAGCTCTTTAACGTAGTAATGATAAAACCAATGGAAGGGAATAAAAGAAAGTAGAATGGCTTCCTGTTCAGGAAAAAAAAAAACAACAACCAAACAAAAGAAACCCCAACAAAACCAAAACAAATAACAAAAAAAAAACCAACCAAAAACCAGACAAAAGAAACAGAGAATGGTATGCTCATTAGAAGAGTATTTTTTACAAACACATTTAGAACAGATAAATGTTTTAGCCACCAAATAAAAGTGTACTGTTCATGTCCAACTCCAAAAGATAGCTGTAGTACCTGTGCTTTATAGAACATTGTCCTGCAAACAAGGTCATTTGTGTTTTCTTGTCTTCTACTTTATGAGCAATCTTCCTGCTACCACAAAGATAATACTGCTGAGGAAGCACAGGTGAAGACATAAGTGATACAAAGGACAAAACTGCACCATTCAACCCCTTTTAACACAGAAGTCTTTATCTGATCTGGAAGTCTCATCTCCCCACTTCTGACTCAGTATTTGATGTGAAGTCCTGGACTCATGGTTCCACTGCTCTTCCTCATTGTTACCTTAGCATAATCTTTACTACTCAATTATCATTTTATGTCTTTATCACTGCTGCCTTTCATTTCTGTCCACAGTGAGTTTAGTTCTGTTCCCTTCTCTTCTCCAAATTCATTGAAAATTCTGAAATCCTATCAGCTCATTGTGTTACCCTTGCACCCACCTGGCTCTTTCCCATCTATCTCTTCAGAGCCATCTTAGTCTTACCTAGCCTATAAGCAGCAAAAATGAAAATACTAGATTGCAGTGTATTTTAATTACATTTAATTTATGCAGCAAACCAAAAGCTATGAAGATGTATTGGGATGGAGTGGAGTACAGGATTATTAGGGATATTGGATTTGTATTTTAATGACTATGCATCAGTGTTGTCTGGGTCACGTACCTCTGGGTTGTCATTCCTACTCTTGCTGTATTTGTGCCTTAATATACCACAAAGAGAAACTCACCACCACCCCATTTCTTCTCCCAGTGATACCTGCACCTTTGTCAAATTGTTTTGTTTCAAACACATCTGTTTCCTCCAATGCTGCATTTGTATTGGTATGTCCCACCACACAACATAAATCACTGTCCTAGCCTCCTCAACGTGCCTCTTAAAACACATTTGAGCTGCACAGCCTTTCAAACCCCTACCAGTGGTGTGGCAGAGCTATCATCAGTAAGGTAAGAACATCAGCTACTAGGAGAAACAGGAGTTGCTGCTTTCCTTGCCTGCGTTCTCTTCTCCAGGAAAGGAGTTTTGCTGATCTTCAATCTTCCAATAAAGTCACTATAGGGGAAAAAAAAAAGAAGCTGCCACTCCCTTCAAGCACAAACTGAGACAACTGAAGCAACTCATGAGAAAAAACAGGAGAAAGATTGCTCGCATTTCCTTACAGAAATAACATGCCTGACCAACACCATGCTGCAGCACTCCATCTCTTTGTTCTCAGATAAGGGAAGACTGAAGTGCAACCCTTCTTTATCCCAGGGAGCAGGATTCCATAACCGTGAGTACTGATTCTGTTCGACGCTCTGAAGGACGTGACACTGCTTGCACAAATGTAGGCAGACAAAGACTTACTGGGCCTAGAGGGGCAGTCCTGTGCTGTTGCATGCAGTTGATAGCTCTTCAATATCAAGTTACTTAGATTTTTTAAGTTTGCCATTCTTCAGTCTACCTGTCTTAGCACCAGTGAGTAAATGCAGTCAATTATTTCTACAATGGTGGTTTCATTGGAATGTATTCGTTTGGCATTTAGTTTAGTTGGAGGTAATGTGCCACTGGCACTGCTGTAGCTAGTGTAAACAACCTAAAATAGTAAAAAACCAACACACCAAACAACTAAACAAAACAACACAAAAAAATACACACCAAAAAAATAAAGGAGGTTTTTGCACAAATCCTAGGTACATGTATCTGGTTAAATGAACCATTCAGCTGCATCAAATTCATCAGTAAATGAAGACACTTTCTATCTGAGGTTTTGCTAATAAAACTGCAGGGCGTGATTCATGCTCTGTTCAGATCATTCATCTATATTCTGCTTTTTCCTGAGTTCAGAGAAAAGTTTTTAAAAATCAGTTTGGTGAA